ATTTTAGACACTATTGCCTTCGAAAATTTCAAAAATGTTGTTGTTAAATCTCTTTTTTGCTTGGTTGGAATTTTCAATCATACCACTAGTCTCTTTCTTGCAAAAATTTAAGAAGGAAATCTACAATGACACTTTAAAGGAAATTTGCATTACTAAAAAGCCCAGGTAAATATATTTAACAAAGTATTTAGAGTCAACATGATGTGCTGAATGAATGAATATATGAATGAAGCAGCCTTATGTGGGACATAAATAGGAATGCAGAGCAGATATTAACATTCCAGCTTTATTGATATGGAAACCAAGGCTTAGAGAAGGGAAGAGATTTGCCCAAGTTGTACAAACACAGTAATATGTGATAAAGTTCATGCCAGAATCCCAGTAAGTCCATTAATGTTTCACATTTCAGATTCTCGTTCTAATGAAAGCAACACGAATCAATATTCCCCAATAATTATCCCAGTAGAGTTTAAGATTTCTCCTTATTAAACATTAATTTGTGCTTAGATCCCTGAATTAATGCAACTTTCTTGAAATAAAACGATGTCACCTGGAAATAGAAAAAAACTTTAGTGTATGGTTGTATAAAATTCTGGTAAGGGGATTTATGGTTTAATTCTAGTGCTTTATAATGAGAAAAACAAGAATCTTTAAAATTATGGATAGGGAAAAGCTGGTAGCTTTGCGCATAAATGTGCTGCTTGGCCATTTGAAACATGGAGAATTTTTATCTGGCATAAAAAGGATTTCAAAGGATAAATGCAATTAAAGACGGCACAGATAAGCCTCAGGGTATTGTGGAATGTTACCACCTCCTTTACCTTTTACCCCATTTTGTACCTACATATAATATTTAATGAAAATATTAACTTACATTTTAATTGCATTAAATTAGCCAATATAATCAATTAAAAAATACTGTCTAAAATGTACATGAAGGACCAAAAACATGAATTTTATCATACTCAAAAGGATGCACTTATTAGGCAGATACTATAAATCAAGCACCAGGAATATAAAAGTGAGTCAGACACCCTCCCTGTCCTCCAGTTGCTCACAGCCTGGTCAACGTGGAGACCCCCTCAAACACTTGCCCTGCCCGGGGATTTCTTACTGCAACACCAGACTCTTCCTGGAATGCTTCTATTTCTTTCAAGTACAATTGTTGTAAGTGACCATTTTTAAACATTTGCATAGTACATTATTATTTTGAAATTAATTTATCTCCTTTATCACCACATCAATCATGCTAGATCTACATGAAAAATATTATAATTGTACTTTTTAAAATAAATGTACTGAGATAAGCTGAGTTACTTTAGAATACTGGTATCCTAACTCCCTGTACTGCAAGTATACTTTCTTTTGTTTTTTTAAGATTTTATTTTTATTTGTCAGAGAGAGAGAGAGAGTGCAGAAGCAGGGGGAGGGGCAGGCAGAGGGAGAAGCAGGATCCCTGCTGAGCAGGGAGCCTGACACAGGGCTGATCCCAACACCCTGGGATCGTGACCTGAGCTGAAGGCAGACACTCAACCAACTGAGCCACCCATGCGTCCCACATTACACTCTCTAATACAATGAAGTCAATTACTAGAAAGAGGTCAGTCCTTAGTTTACGCAGATATGGATATGACTCTTGACTGGGCATGCTACCTAGCCTCTCCGTTTTAATATTTTCATCAAGAATATGGGGCAAAGATTTACTTTGTGGTTTATTATAAGGATTACGAATAATACAAGTGACTAACACAAATTAATTATGCAAATAATAGCTATCATTCTCCTGATATTTCCTTCTAAATCTGGCAACTTAACAAAACATGCCATACTACTTCTTTTGTTATGAAAAATATTTTTTTATCCTTGTTCATTTCAAAGAACAAAATCACTTGAAATCTAGAATTATGACAAAGTGATAGAAAATAAATTATAATAAAATAATATTGAGTGAGGGAAGATATCTCACCAGAGTTACAAGTGGCAACCACTCCAACATTTGGTGTTACAGTATATTATGCATTATCATTAATTTCAGCCATAATATTTCTATCAAATATTACTATGAAAATATTAGCATACACTAGAATATCATAACGGGAAGAAAACAAAGGGAATTAATCTCAGTTATACTCAAAACATAATTATTCAAGTTCTAATTCTAGTAATAAAAGTGAATTTTTAATTGAATTTTAATATAATTTTATATGATACATATATTTTTTAGTTCATAAGATATCTTTATTGACTGTTTTTTAAAAAATTTTCGATGTTGTTAGGATCGTGATTTTCACAGAGTTTTTGTGATATTGACAGTATGGCGTAGCATAATCATCTGTGCCACGAAAGCAGAACCACCATGGGCATTATGGGAATGAAGGATCTAGTCACTGGAACTAGACCTTACACAGCATCAGAAGAGCTGGGAAGGGAGGGACTGCAGAGAAGGCAGAGGAAGAGAGCATGCCTCCTGGAGCCCCGGTGTGGATAGAAAAGTCAGAGCTTCCAGGGAAATGCAACCACCAAAGTGGTCCCATGGGAACTACAGCTCTGACTTGGTGGGTCAACAGCCAAGTTGCCATTGGTGGCATGGATGATATTTTAAAAAGTACATTTTCTTAGGGGTGCCTGGGTGGCTCAGTCTGTTAAGCATTTGCCTTCGGCTTAGGTCATGATCCCAGGGTCCTGGGATGGAGCCCCACATCGGGCTCCCTGCTCCGCGGGGAGTCTGCTTCTCCCTCTCCCTCTGTTTGCATCTTTCGTTGCTTGTGGGCATGCTCTCTGTCAAATAAAATCTTAAAAAAAATAAGTAAAATTGCATTTTCCACATGGTTATAGCCTTATGTGTCATGGGAACATAGAATTTTAGAAAGGGTGGGGATGCTCTTTGGAAACTGTCAAATTTAACACTCTCAACAGATGGAGAGAGTGAGGCTCAGAGACAGTTAAGTTGGCCAAGGGAATGGAGATGAAGGAGAGATTTAAGAAGGACAAAGAAGAGGAGGGAGCAGGGTGAGGCATGGTGGAGGAACTGTTCCTGTGGGAGCAGCCTAGTGTTGAGGTCTGAGCTGGTGGGACATTGATAAGGGTAAGGCTGGGCAACAGCCAGTTCAAGCCAACCAAGGCACTGGGCAATTACTGGCAGGTGATCCTAACCACTGCTCTGGAGAGGTACCCTGAGAACTATCTGGCAAAGAAGAGGGAGGGCTCAGTTAAAAGAGACCTCTAAATCAGAGACATCTCAGGTACAGGGGAGTTGGCCTGTGTAGAGAGGTGCCCAGGGCTAGGAGGGAACTTGGGGCTCATCTTTTATTACCTCCCAGTCTCCAGGGGAGAATGAAGCCCCAGGAAGCCTGAGTGAAAGGTGCTGAAGTCAGGACTGGGATTAGAAGTCTGGTTTCCGGACCCCAAACTTGTGTTCCTCTGAGGGCGCCAAAGTCTTTAAGCAAAGGTTGTCCGGTAGGTAGGGATGTTGGCAGATGAAATATAGGCAAGAAGATTAAATTAGGTGATATGTAAAGATTAACCTCAAGATAGTGTGAAACTGAGTCTTCATTCTCTAATATAGGAAAACTGGCTGATGTGGGAGCTTCCCTTGGTCATTCTCCCACTCAGTAGCCCCGGTACTTCCAGTTCTTTTGTCGCTTTCCATAATAACAGGATATTACTGAGCCCTACTCTGTGCTTAAGATTTGCCTGAAGTTATAAACTACATAGTGACAGAGTTGGGACAATATTTTGGGACTGCTTTGAGTTCTATTCCTTTGGGACAAGTTCAATTAGTCTAATTTTATTAATCAAAGGTTCAAATCATTGAAAGTATTTGAATAAGAAGTTAAATTGTAGTCCTGAAGACCCTAAATCTAGTCTACTAAACATATCAGCTTCTCTGCTGCCCATGATTCATTATATAGGAATCAATTCAAAACTCTGAGAAATAAGGGAGAGAAACAAATGTCAACTTTAAATACCTTATTGAGTGACACCACAGTGCAATTCATTTACAAAGAGGAGACTTGAATTCATATCCATGGGAGAGTTTCCTCAGAAAAATTCTGGGAGAGTGCAAAGTAAAGACACACACTGTGCCTGATGTTTTCGGGGAGACATCCATTTTATAGCTTATATGGGCATTAAAATTATCATAAATTATTGTTAAAATTATTTAATTTCTAGAAAGATAACTTAGAAACAAATAACTATCACATTCCTAAACCTATAGCAGCTATCATTATAATTTGAAGGACCAATATTTTGCATTTGTAAAACTGAATTTATTGAGTGTACACTATTCCCATGGATCAAAACCTGAAGCAAAGTTTTAAATTTGTTCTTAAACATAATTCAAATGTATGTTTCAAATTAACTCTTAATTCAATCATTTAATGGCAAGAGCACTTCAAATACAAAAGAATACAAAAATACAAAATAGTGATTTAAGTCTACTTTAAACTGTTATTAATATCATACTTGTATATTTGAGTTTTACAAGAAGAAAAAACAGAGGATACTCTAGGTTCGATGAATATAGAATACTGACTTTAGAATTTGATTAATTTAGGGATATTTCTTAAGCTCCAACTTTGATAGAAATAAAGATAAGAGAAAACCTTTCTTTTCTACCTAAGCTTTTAAAAGTAGACCACTTATTTATACATTTAAACATTTACTAAATTGGACATCTTTGATGAAAGCAAAATTAATACTAGTAACATATACAGAGAATCATTATCTTGAGTTGTCTTTCTCTTTGTTTTGAAATGGGAAATAAAAGCAACGAATAATCTAAGAAATATGAAATGTCTGACAATTAGCTCCGCCTTAATTTTGTATTACAAAAATATCTTCTTAGATTTTCTACTCATTTTAGAGAGGAAAATATCACCAAAAAACATTCAAAATCAAGATATAATCAAAACATTTAAGAAGTATGTGAAAATAAAAAAAGTAGCTCAAAGGAAAAAAACTCTAAATTTTTCTCATAGCTTTTATATTTAACTTACCTTGTGAAAAATCAGGAGATTCTAACTTTAGAGTCCTGTCTGTGCAGTTTCTCCCAAACTCAGCCCTGATGGTGAGTTTTCTCTCGGAGTTTTTATAGTCTCAGTTATACACCCCTCACTCCAATCCCTGCCTTTGCTTTCTCTTACATCATTTCTAGATTTTCCACTGAACACTTTCCCAAGCCTCTCTTCCATCTCTCCCCCCACTCTCTCTCTTTTTCTCTTCTCTCAGTCTTTCTCTTTCCCTCTCCTACTCTTCTCTGTATTTATTTTATCTATTGCTTTGATCATGGTATTTAAGTAACAACAGGAGCTTGGGCTCCGGAAAATTTAAGTATACATTTAGTATTGTGTTCAGCCTTAGACCCATCACTTCTCCCTGAGGTTTTGGAAAATCTAGCTCGGATAATTACAAATCATATTTGGGAAACAAAAATGCACTCAGATTTGTTAAAAAGAAACTCACTAGGGTATTTCAAAGTAAGATTTAGGGAGATTATAATCAGAAACCCAAACTGATTTATTGGTGTATATTTTGGACCCCTAAGTGCAATGATCATCTATGGAAATGGTGAGTGGTTTCAGCCTCGGTCAGGTGCACAGCGCTGTGTCAGTGAAACTGACAGCGACTTCAGAATTAACATTGCTATACTGGGAAGGTTGGCACTAACAAACCTATAAATACTGAACTGTGACAAGTGGGCTATAAATGCAGACGTTGTAATCATTCTTATCTTTCTCTGCTCTCCAGTATTTTAATTTCCTTTTCACCAAAACATTCCTGCTTCTTTCTGAAACTTTTCTTCATTCCCATTTCCTACTAATCACATTTGAAACTTACACACACAGACTGTAAAAAAATAAGTTATTAAGTCCTAGAGGTTTTATGCTGTTAGATCATTATTAGCTCATTTGATTCACCACTAGGTCTCCGTTTGACAGATAAGGAAACTGAGGCTAGATACATTAAGTGACTTTACGAGGCCACACAGCTAGGAACGAGTAGCAGAACCAGATTTCAAATACATATCTTAATTCTATATCCAGTCCTTGTCCCACAGCTTCAACCTGTCTCACTATTTAAAAAGCTAGAGAAAGAATCCAAACCAGATCATCTTTTGCGCAAATAGAAGTAAATTTGTTCTTTTTGGTTTTGCTTTAAAAGTCATTTAAAATACTAGTCACTAGTGTAGGAACTATTACATGGTTAATTTGGATCTAGATGGGGAACTGACCAGAGCACACTGAATTGGTGGGACAGTAAAATACTTCATTTTTTTTATGAAGGGTTTCCAGGGATTAACATATGTCTCAACAAGCTTGAAATTTGAGTAGTTGGCAGTGATAGTTCACAAGTCAAGATAAAAATACAGCCTAAGTGTGGACCCTTGTTTAGACATTACTGCCATAAAACGATTATGTTAGCTTGAATCCACATGATGGAAAACTCTCAATATAGATTTAACGGATGCATCATAATGCTACCAGAAGCCAATATTCTTGACGTACCTTCTACCCTTTCTTGAAATGCCTCTCTCAGTATGCTGACAAGTGATATCTGTGGCTGATTTATTCCAGATCTCTCCCTGCTTAGACAGTCCAAAGATTCCACCCTATTTGTGGATTTTGTTGACCTAATTCAAAAGTTTGACTTAACTGTTCTGCAGCAGTAGAAATAGCAAGTTTATTCCAGGAACATAACCATGGTATATTTAAGCCATTTATACAGGGTTCTGCACATTATATATCCCTGTGTAAATTGCTTGCACATTTATACATGATAGAGAAATTCCGTTACCTTGAAAGACAGGGTAGAAACAGGAGCATATGAAGAAGTTGAAAGAGAATACACATCCAGTGATAGAAGGGAGAGACTAAGATGAGAAAGGGAGAAAACATTAATGAAAACTTTTCTGCTAGTATATCGTTATTAAATCTGCATAACAACCTTGCTGAAGAGGTATTATTATTCATATTTAAAAAAAACAGATGAAAAAACCAACGCTCAAATATGTGAAATGCATAATCCAAGTGCTCACAGCTACAAAGTGATGGAATCAGGAGTTGAAGCTCACTCTCTGTATCAGTCAGGATTGTGACAGTGAAGGGATGGCACGTTGAAATGGAATAATTTGTGGGGAATTTAATGTGGGCAGGGTGTAGAGGAACCAGAGAGGATAGCACAGTACCACAGAACCAATAATAGCCAGGTATCCTTAATCTTGAAGGATTAAAGGTAAGTAGAGACAGAGGGATATGGGTAGACAAAGTTGCTTGGCAGAAGTGTGACCTTTCATCAAGGGACACAGCCAGTCAAGAGCAACCTACAGGGGAGGGAACTTAGGAAATAAACACCAAGATTTCACTTGCTTTCTCAATATAATCTCCTATTATGTTTACTTTTGGTCAAACCCAACTGGAAAAGGGAATGAATGCGGGTAGATAAAAGACCCAGCAAACTATTTAACCTCAAAGCTGTGTTAAAAGACATACAAATGAGGGAGGAGTAGGAGACCTGGATTTCCTCTGGTCTCAGGAATTCAGCTGGGTAGGGATCAAACCATTCTGAACACCTACAAACTCAACAGGAGATCGAAGAAAAGAATAGCAACAACTCTCTGCACAGAAAAGGGACCATTTTCTGGAAGGTAGGATGTGCGGAGAAGTGAATCCGAGGCGATATTCGGGAGGATAGACGGCGGGGGAGGAGGCCTCCATCGGCCACTTCTGGCAAGTGATAGAGCCGCAGAGCACAAAATCGGAACTTTTAGAAGTCGGCTCTGCTGAGGGACGTCGCTCCAGTGGCTAAGCAGAGGATGTGAACCCTCGCGGGACAGTGTGATCTCAGGACCCTCAGGGTCACAGAAAGACCGGGGGTTCCTGAGTGCAGCAGAGCTCCCAGGTATTGGAGCAGAGAAGCTGGCTGCAGAGACGGAGCCGAGGCGCGGGCTCTCAGCTCGGGGTTGCCATAAACTGTGATCTGCGGCCCAGTCGGGCCACTGCTCTTCCAGCAGGAACCCCACAAGCGGCAGATCCAGGGAGACTCCCCTTCCTCCCCCAGGAGGAGCGGCACGGGAGCACACCGCAGGGATCTGCTGGGTTTGGAGACTCCACACCGGGTCGTGTGCTAGAGATAGAAACGCTCGGTCACAGGCCGGGTGAGCACGGAGTGCGACCGGAGACCGGGGAGACGGGAGTGATTGACTGTTTTTCTTTGGGGGCACACTGAGGAGTGGAGCCCCAAGTTCTCGGCTCTTCCGGGGC